ACTTTGAATATTCAATGGATATCTGGTGCTGTTAGGGACATATTATAGGGAGATACTGAGTTTGTCAAAAAGAAGTATTTGCAATAATATAACATTCTGATTTTAAAATTAATTTTGTCATCTCATGTTTTGCAATATAACGTTCCATTACGAAATCATTGGAACATCTTAATATTACAGTAACTTTTAAAATAATTTCTTATCGAATTATCTTATATCTATTGTACAGGTTGGTGTCTGCCTTTTTGACCACTTTTGCTGATATTTTGTCATTTTATTCAAGACAGATCATTATAGGTTCATGAGATTATTTTCATACAGGTTTTCAATTAGTAGAAAAGATTTCAATTGTGTAATACAATACAAATAAATAATACAAGTAGTGCAGAAGGGCACGTTGCCCATATATGAGCCGTGCCCCGAGCCATTTTAATGCTTGGATTGTGACATTTATTAGTTCGGCTAATATTTCTCTTAACCAACGGATTATTCATCTGAAGAAGAAGTTCATTGTGCAAGATCCAAACACAGAAACCTTGCCTAAAATAGTACCTATATCTTGACAGGATGTTTTGCAATGGCCTATTACGGACCGTGGCCCACTTGGTTGGCCTTAAGTGAGATTGGTGAAAAGAACACTACACTTCGCCTGTAAAACAAATTTCACAAAGAGTAATTGAGTGAAAATTTAAAAACTTACGTTTTCATGTCCCTGGCCTTTTACTTCGTATATACTGGATTTGTAGTTTATTATTATGTGTTTTAATATTTTTTGGGACGGGGGCAACATGTTACACACATTTATTTGGTTTTAAATAGGTTCTAGGTATTGTTTTCGTATTTTTAAAGTCTCGAAATTCACGACCATGACGTGTCCCTAGGGTACATTTTCCAACTTTCACGCTGTTTTTAGAATAATTATTCATGCCGAAATATATAAAGCCATATTTTTATGTCATCAATGGTTATTTAACTTACAAAGAAGGAGCATATTATAATTTTATTGTCATTACAAACTGACTACCATGACAAAATAAGTCTGTCCCTCGATTTGGCGTCACGACCATTTGGGAAAAATGTTCAACTTTGGAGCACGACAGTGGCAAGCCTGGTGTCGATGGAGTCAGTTGGTTTTAGAGACTAGTTCGGGGTGTACGTCAGGATTGTAGTGCCGGTCGTTTCGAGTTAAAAGGAGGAATTACAAGATTAATAAAGAAAAGATTGTGTTTTTTGTAATTTTGGTGTGTCCATGACCGTACGTAGTCATTCGATGAAGTAGACATGGTGTTAATTTTTGTTGATAAGTAATTTCAATTAGTAGATTAACCTAGAAGTCCACTTTGTATCCTCGAACATGAGGTGCAGGGCTACCGCCAGAACAGAGCCAAATAACACGTAATTTCACGACCAAAGTTTCACGACCATTGCAGGTTTTTTCACGACCAATCTAGCCTTATGGATTATAGTTTGTTTGGTCGTGACAATAACTTTAATATAATTGTAAATTGAACAGTTTAGTTGAATTGAAACACATAATTTTATTATAACTAACAGGATAATTGAAGGATTGTTTAGAAAGATTTAGATTATTCCAGACAACTCACGACCGTACCGCTTGTCCCTGACCATCACGTTTATGATTTCTATCATAAAAAATTCAAAAATTAAAATATCGTCATATTTCAATGTTTTATACACAAAAGAAGCACACCTCTATATACAAACATAACGATTTTTCGGGTCTCAGGTAAGTTTTTTCGGAGTTATACAAACTTAAAAAGATTTTATTGATTTTTTCAATTTTTTGAGTTTTTTTATTTTTTTCTAGAAAGACCAAATATACCAAAAGCTCAGTGACCTTTTTATTGTATAATGGTCATAAAAGTAAATTAGTTTATAGCAAAACATAGTTATAAAAATAATATTAACTATTTTTAATATTCATTTAAACGTCCGTTATGGTCGTGACAGGATTTTGTGTTTTTCCACTAAAGATGCTCTTTTAAAAAGAAACTACCAATGATATTGCGTTACCATGGACATTTTATGAAACTTCAAATGTTAATGAAATAAAAAAAATAATTTTGAAAAATTTTAAAAATTTTAATAATTTTTGGAAAAAGGGGAAAAAATTTGCAAAGTGCTTTTGCTGAAAACGTACGTTTTAAAATTTTCACTCAATTACCAGTTAAGCAATTACTGTCATGACAGAAAGGTCGTGTTCCTTTTGAACTAGATCGATATACTCATCCTTTCTAAGATACGTTGATTAACAACAATGCATGTAAACGCCACTATTTACATAACAATTTACAGTATTTGCTTTTTTGGAAATGCAGCATTGCTTTGTCATTTGCATTATTTGTTGCCAATGAAGCCGCATGACAATATGAACGAGGTCCCTCATTTCAAGAACAAAAGCCAGCTTTACTACAAATATATTCCACTACACCTAACATTCCGAAGATATATCATACTAAACACATTATGTAATTCATAAAGCTGAGACAAATAACCGATACAGTTTTTGTTTTAATATAAGTGTTATGTACGTAAAACATTTTGCCAGCCCGTTAATTTTTATCTACTCTATAAAAATCCCAGCAGGCTAAAATATATTTTTTTACAAATTACCATATGGATGGCATCCCTATGATTCATACATACATATACATGATACATGATCTCTCCGTACGTAGACCTTTGCCTTAAGGAATTGGACAGGTCAGGGTTAATACAAAGAATAACCATAACCAACTTAATACTAATTTTTGTCACCGTCTAGGTAACTGTCTATGTCCTCTAAACTTAACTCTACTAGATATTTTTTAATTCTGATTTGAATTTTGTTAAGCTCTGAATTTCAAGTAATTTTTTTGGTTCGCACAGTGGTTCGTACAGCTAAAACGGGGTTTTAGGGCGGGATTGAAATGAGATGTGGCTTTTTTCTCTAACCTCTATTTTTGATGTGGAAAGCGAAAAGGGACCTCTTTTCAGAGATGCAACATTTTCAGTACCGGTACGGCCGATATAAGTAATTACTTAAGGTTGAAAATATCGAATTTTGGGTTTCGATTGTTATACAGTACCTCATTTAACAAAAACATGACACTATCGGTTAAAATATCGAATTGAAGATGTGAAAGGTCGAAATAGATCATTTTGTGAGCCTCTGCACGGTCTAAGTAAAGGTACGTTTTGTCGCTCAATGTTATTTCGCCATTATGACAAGAGGTCCCATTATTTCTAATATTCACTTTTTAAACAGATTTAAGTTTAGTCCAAAAATGGATTGTCCTGCATTCTAATGGAAATTTAGAGAACTACGACAAAGTTCAGACGGAGAATAAAATATCTCACAAATATTGCGGACCCGACTAGAGGTACATTTTCTTATCTTATGGAGAAATGACATAGGGCCGACAAGAGGTCCCTTTTCTGAAAGAAATGAGATTTTTACGACATGCTTCAATAAAACAATTATTCAATTGAAAACTAACGTGAGTTAAGACAAAAATTGGTACCTATTGAATACAAAGACGACATTATAAGTTTTCTTTTGATACCAAAATCGTTTCTTAAATAAAAAGCCTCGTTTTTATGCGTTATAACATTTCAAAGTCCTATAACAAAAAAAAAAAATCATAGATGCATGGGACTTGTACCAATCGATTCGGAATTTAATAGGGAATTCAAATGATAAATATATGAAACTCAAAATCGAAAATTCCCGACAAGAGGTCCCTTTTAGCTTTCCACATAATATTTTTTTCATTTTTCTTAAAGATAAAAACAATCCCCAATCAGTTGAATAGTTGCAGTATAGCCTAGTACTATCGCGAAGTTTAAAGAGCCATTTTGACATTACACCTAAAAAGAACACTCTGGAAGGATCGAGATTTTGTACAGTATTCAAGCGGAGAAGCCGGGATTTTTCATCACACTAAATAAAGCGGGAACGGGGCCTTCTCAACCTGGATGGAAAGCAGGAATTGTTTTGGTCGTGTTGGTGGATTGGAAATTGGATTTGGCAGTGGCTATTCGCACGTCAGACGTGCGCCGCTACCACGCACGTCTGCTCCAAATGACGTCCCATTACGTTCCTAATCTAGTAGGTAACTGTTATAGCTGTTTGGGAACAGGTTGCACACAAAGATATCCTAGTATTAGGAACGGTAACGGTAGTACCTCATTAGCCGAAATCGAAATGAATGGGATCAACTTCGTAAAGAGAAAGGTAAAAGAGTTGAAGTGAACAGAGCCAAAAAGGTTACAAGCAATCAAATAGGTGCTGGCCAATAATAACATGTTATTATTAGAAATACGCAGTAGAAGATTCAATATAGGAATATAGCCTACTTTACCTGTACAAATCAAAGGCTAGGCCTATCAAAGGTATCAATGGCCTAATATTGGTAGGTTTAGATAGCCCAGAAGTAGGCTAGGCATTAGGATAAAATAGTAATAAATCACCAGGCTGTCATCGGCTTAAAGCTTAATTTTACAGTGTAAGCTTACAAGTAAAATCTTATTTTTGATTTGGCCGCTATCCCGAGCTTGTACTTTTCTAGTACAACTGTATATGCATCTGTAAGTCAATTGATAATATTAAAATTATCATTTATGTGTGTTTTTTTTTTTACTTTTAACACCTTTCTTTCTGGCTCCATCGATTGTTCTGAACTAACCAAGTAAGAAGTAACTGAAACTGAACGTTCTGTTCTGAAAGTTTCCGTTGCATTATTTTGTAATAGGTACTGGAACTGTTAACAGAATACTGGAACGGGAACGGGCTGTGGAGCATTTAGACGTGCGAATAGTCTCTTCGATTGGGGCTCGATACATTGGACTGGATTACTGGGCTGGCATACTGGACTGGACTGACTGGATGGAGGGAGGAATTGAGGAATATAAAATAAAGCTTCAATTCAATCTAATCTTCAAATCTTCCTCTTCCTCGCATCCTCGCCCCTCGGTCGGCGGTCCATGGGCATCCATCATTTATCATGATAGACATCTTTCTCCTTCTTAGCCTTAGCAAGTCCTTACTGAACTAAACTAAATCTTGGTATTCTCCAGTTTAAACTGTTAGAGAATGAGTTAAAAGTAAAAACTTGAAACATCGTCTCCAACCTCTTGTAAGTAGTCAATCAGCGGTTATTTATATCAAGTTCAACTAAATGGGAGAACTAGGCTGACAATATCATAGGCCTAGCCTAGTTTCAAGTACTTCGTATAGCACGTGTTATTTATGTGATATAGATGTCTTGTTTTAATCAATCTTAGGCCTATTCTCTAAGTAAAACTATGAAAGATCAATGGTTTTAGTCTTAAAACTTGTTGTCTTGGTTAATTTTGTTTGTTCATCAAGGCCTTGCCTAGGGTCAAAGAATGTTGGGCTGTGTAGTTACTATATTGAATATTTCATTTAATTTCATTGATATGCCGAGCCTCTCAATCACTTACGACTTATAACTCGAACCTCGGGCACAGTTTCTTAACTGAGCTACGCTAGGCCTAATATTGATTGAAACTATCGATTCGATTAGTAAACCTTCATGTGATTTTTTTCACCATCCAGCAAGTTTGGTTGGTTAGGTTAGGTTTTGATAGTTTGATTTTATAATAGATATATTTTAAAATATCGATGAGGCCTACCTATTAACCCTCCGAGTGTCCATAGTTTAGGCCTTAATGTCCGCCTATTTTTGGCGCATTTGCAAGGTTTTATTAACACCGATCTGAGAAGCTTGAAACAATGTTAATTCTACTGTTCTATATACCATTTTGTTTGGAAAATCATGGGCTTCAATATTATACATAAAACATAGGCCTAAGGAACATTTGTTTCAACAAAATTTTTTAGGTATAACCCTCCCAGTGTTACTTGACGAAAATTCGACAAGCAGCACACTTTGTGTAGTGTTACTTGTCGATTTTTCGACATGCAGACATCGTTTACGGCGAAGGCTCTATGACTGACTGAATCGGATTGAACTGGATCGAGTTAGGTATCGTTCTTTCCGTAATATTCTAAGCTTTCTCCAGAGGTCTGTCTCAGCGCTGTACGTTCTCTGAGCCGATCGTAATTGTAGCAGACAGCTGGCAACGTGCGTGTATTTGTAAACAGCTAGGTTACCCTCGGACCGATGACTGATGTGTTTTATTACGTTTATCATTGTTTTAGTGTTAAAAATCAAAAGTAGTGATATACGTGTTGCATTATAAGAAGATTTAAGTGGTTTTGAAGTGCTGGTGGATGATCCTGAAGAAGTAGGTAGTGATATTGATGTAAATTATCAGCCAGATTCCTAGCTATGGTTAGGCTATGCATTCTTAGCTAAACGCTATGTACTGAAATCTGTTTTTTGACCATAACTTATTTATTTGCAAATCTACTTCCTTATATTATTATATATTTGTAATCCTCATAAAATTTAGAACAAAGTGGCTATTTTCAAATATTTATAGGCCTATAATTTATATACAATTTCATTGAGCGCAAACTTATTTTTTTTTTTTTAAATTTTCGAAATTATATTTTTTTTACCTAAAAATTTTTTTTTTTTAAATGTTCCTTATGTTTTATATATAATATTGAAGCCCATGATTTTCCAAACAAAATGGTATATAGAACAAATAATTAGTGCACTTCATATACTCGTGTGGTTTCAGGTTTTATTACCGGTACACTACTTAATTACTTGTTTTAGGTAGGCCTACTACTTAATTGCCTATGTTATAGGACGAGTAACCCTACAAAGGAGTTTTGTTTGGTCTTTATTGCAATATTTATAATATTTATTTTGGATTAGTATTGGTAAACGTCTTAAAAAAACCGTACAGTGTAGAGAGCTTCCGAAATTTCTAACCATTCTTCATCATGACCAAATGCAAGATCAATTGCAGCGCTAGAGTAGGCCTACTGTTTAGAGTGCATTCTATTTGTTGATAATAACCATGATTTATTCCAGGTATTATACTCTTTTTGCTTCAAAGAATAAGCCTAAGATGATTTCCACAGCCATACGAGTGAGTATTTTTTATTAATTTTCCACTTAGTCTAGTTTTAGGGAATATCTCATGTATGGAATAAGCTATTACCGTAGGTCTCATGGTAAGACTTGGACCTGGGACCGATTTGCTAATTTCCTTCTGAGGTTCCCAGAGGCCAAAGCACCACATATTTAAATTCATATACAATACTGTACTAGTGTTTAATGATGTGTTCAACTCTATATATTTTTTGTGTGTTTGTGTGTGTGTCCGTTAGCATGATAAGGCCCCGGTAACGATACGAGCGGCATGAGCGCCGCCGCTCTGACATCGGGTCTCATTTATTTCCACGTGTAAATTTGTTGAGAGTGGCCACGATACGTCTGAGCGACGAGCGGCACCGCTCAGCGCCGCTCATGGTTCCAAGTCAAAACCGATTTTTGCAAAAACGCCGCTCAGGTGCTCAGGTGAGTCATGCCAAAAATGACCCACCTGATGGTGATGGTTAGGTTCGGCCTAAAATGACAGGGAAACAGCAGAAAACATGCGATACGGGTCGATACGTGAGGTGCAGTCCAGGGAATGTTTGTGGAATGACCAGGACGGAAGTTTTAAAACACTTCAGTCACCAGAAAAGTATGGAACCATGTTAGGGTTAAGGTTTTTCTAAAAACTAAGTTTTTCTTTAAAGGCAAACAATTGTCAGATAGCAACAATAGTTGCAATACGTCTTGCAGGTAAGCATTGTTTACCATTTTCGACTAAACCGACTCATAAAAATGGGGAAATTTGATGAGCATTATAATTGTGCCGCTTGTATCGTAGCCACCACCGCTGCTTACGTGCAGCTCAGGTTACCGCTCGCCGCTCGTATCGTACTCGAGGCCTAACTTGAGCAAAAACTATCCGATTTTGTTAAATTTGGTGCAAGAGTGTAAACCTACCTTTATTCAAACCAGTATTTTTTTTTAAGGATAAAATAAAAAAAAAAAACTGTAAACTTAAATTCCTATGTTATTTTTTACGGAAAACAAGTAGGCCAAGTCAAACGGTTGTAGTTTGCTTGTTTATGAACAAATTTTGATCAAATTTAGGAAATTTATTTATTTCATACTGAACTGCCAACATTTCACAAAAAAAGCACTATACATTCTCTGTAGCAGCAAACCTATGTACGGGTTAAACTAATGTTATTTAATGAGGGAATAAATCTGACATTTTTAAGGGAATATTTTTAGTGAAAATATATTTAGGTAAATGGAAATTTGCTTAGTCTACAGGTTTGCTGTGGCGGGGGTATTTTAATATTTTGTTAACAAAAGTTAAACAATAAGTTAATATTCACGTAACATGACTTGCTGTTGAGTTATTTGAGCGACTGCAGCACTACCATTCCAAATTACACTGCTAAGTGTACAGTTAACATTTGTCCTGGGATGTTTTAGTGCACCTTGTGTGTTGTTCCATATAATTACAGTCCAATCTCAAAAATTACTAAAAATTAAACAACAGGGATTAAACAAAAATCGTTATATCAAGGTTAGACTGTAGGCCTATAATACAGTACATCGTTCATTCGGGTAAGTATAATTTTTCATTTACGTATCCCGGTCTTTTTCCCTGCTTTTGGCAACATTGAAGACCTGTTAAGTGCTTTTGCCTGTTCCTTTCTTTTTAAACCTTTCACTGGCATACATTAAGTTACGTGCTGGAATACAGTAGTAGTTTTTAATCTAACTAGTGTCCCTGTTGCTTGAATTCGAGCAATTGCTAAGTATTTCAGGCGTTATTTTAAAACGAACAACATCCATAATTTCTGATGACTTTAAAAGATTCGACTCAAAGATTATGGAAATACTCAAGATGTACATAACAGATCGATATAATCAACATTTCTTGTAAATATCTTATCATTTTTCCAAAGCTGATCTTGTTTTTTAGTGTTTTCTACAGATAGCCTTTGTAATGGGTCAAAATTATAGAGGGGTTAAGTTTTTATATTTATTATTTAATTATCAGTAGGCCTATTCCTTACCTGGTTGGTGATAGTGGTAAACCTATCATGGTAAGGTAAATAGGCTGTTCTAGGCCTATCCTAGGGTTGAAGTAGGGATAACCTCACTTTTGGCAAAATCACTAAAGACACTATTTTTGTGATTCACAATCCACAGTATTGCATCGTTGTGTACAAAATGAGTGATAAACCGTTTCCGTGTAACCCCCATGCCTAATATACACCTTTGGGAAGTACGGTCAAAGTTGTTGGTTAGGCTAGGGTGGTGAACCGCGATCACAAATACAATATCACTACATAACATGCATACACTTTGTCGCACACTAAGCTACACGTCACGGGTGGAAATTATACTTTTTGTTTAAACCAGAGACGATATTAAAGTTCTGCCGTATAATTTCACAGTCGGCGCAGGTGAATAACAACATTAACAACATAACCTGTACTACTAGTCGGCTGTCTTGGCGTTGTGTTGTGACAGCGCCAAGTTTGAACTCGTGACGTCACCGATCAGCTGGTAATTGAATCAGCTGTTTCCCCATCCCTAGAGGATTAGGGAGGGGGAAGTAGTGAAGATCCCTTGTGGGCTAGGGATGCGACGACATTCTAATTCTGCGATTTACAGTGTTTAGGACGTGTCTTAGTGATTAAGACTTTGAAACGATTAGTGATTTTGCTAACGTGTGCTTTAGTGTGTCTTAGTGAAGATCCCTGGAGTATACAGGTAATTCGCCGGCTTTATCTTAATAGTGTGTACCATTATTTTTTATTATTTGGCCATAAACCCTCATTTTATTCTTTTATACATAAAACTCACGGTAGGATCTTTGACGGGTGTTAGAACTTGTATAAGTCCGCTTTAGCGTATGCTAGGGCTCCCGTGGGTGGCAATAGAGAGTTTTAGGGATACAAATTTCGTTTAATATTTTGTTTACAATATATATTGAGGGTGACGGGGTTTTAGCAAATATTTTGCCGTGATATTCAGTAGGTGTTGAACTGCTGCGGCAAAGCGGGCAAAGTTGAACCCGTCTCTGCAGGTCGTGCAAACACGAGGTCGGGTGGAGCACGCTAAGTATATTCAGAAGTAATATTCTAAGTGTTGAGGTTGACGAAACTGCAACATTAAATTGTTTCAAAATTTCGTTGAACGGGTTTTCATTATTTTTAAATTTAATTCAATCAGCTATTTCCAGGTGTGAACGATGATGATGGTACAGTAGCGTTGTTGGTTACCGGTACTGAGTTCACACCTGATTCACACTACATTTTTGCGTCTATACAAATCTGTACCTGTGCTAGGTTATTGAATTAAATAAATTCTTTTTTATCTGAACCCTGGAAACTTCCCAGCACGCCGACTTGAGCGATCCGCTGGCGAGAGTTGGTGACGTCTTTCCCGCTTTAACTACGGAATAGCGCATATATTCCGAGCGGGAAGAACGGCACGTTACACCTTATTCATAGCCACAATAGGTTGTCCATAATAACGATTATAAATAAATAAAAAAAAAATTGATTTCTTTTCCTTGGTGGTGTTCTATGACTTTTCTATGTTTCCATAGTTTGCAAATCGGCTCTTTCAATGATTACTACAAAATGCAGCACAGTGTTAATTCAGTTTTCTTTTTAGTATATCAATATATCCAGGCTCTCTCGCTTTTTTCCATTGTAATATTTACGCCAACCCAAATGAAAAAAATAAACTATTTCATTTAAACCAAGTCAGTAAATGTTTGTAGCAAACTGTTAAATTAGCAATCTTGTTGACTGTTTACAATTAACATATGTTCTTCGTCTCACTTTTAATTTCTGACAACAGTTGGAGTTTCATAACCATTTTTGTTTCCCATGTTAATCTTATGGAGAAATACGAAAATTAAAAGGGCCCCAGGGCCTCACTCTAATTATTTGCCTAAAAAGAAGATTTCCTGCACAACTACACGTTACGTTCTTTCCAATGACACCAAAAACATGACAATCGGTTCAGTAGTTTCGGAGGAGTAATTATCACAAAAAACCTGCTTGCGTATTAAATAAGTATAGATTCTGCAGTGTTTACATTGAACAGTAGTGATTGGTAGGGATAAGAACATTGCTTTCCTTTTGAGGCTAAGAGGATAGGTATAGTCTTAAAACAGCCACAGTAGGTTTTTAGCCTACTGGAATACTACGGCTGCTCTGTTAGATTATTCATTAATTGGATAATCAAGTATCTGACCTTTTTTTTAACCTTTTTAGCTCAAACTATGTTATCTAGTTTTACATGGTTTTAATTTTTCTAAAATGGTGTTACCTTGGAAATAAAAGAATTGAATTTAGAATACAGATTATACTGAACTATATTCAGGCCAACAACATACGAAATAGCATCGTACTCCAGAGTTAATAAGCTAAATACAAATAGGTTTTTAATTCAATTAACTTTTTTTTTGTAATGCCTAAACTGATAGATTTGAACTGAAATGGTAGAGGTATCAGTTATACATAATAAAGCTTCATAAGTTGTCTGACTTAAAACCCTAGATTATTATTTAAACTTATTGGTACCTACTTTGGTATTATCCGGAGGCCAACCTTATACAGCGTGCTGCGGTGGTCATGTTAGGTTGGGTTATCATAAATATGTTTATAGGACTTTCCTTGTTTCATTATGAATCGAACAATACCAGATGAGTCATACTTTCCCCCGCCAATTCCCCTCCAAGTAGCCAAGGTCAGGTCGTTGACCGGAGCACGCGCATCACCTGTCACTGCGCCTGAATCTGGGTCAGTGTCCTGAGTGATGACTCATCTGGTTTTGTTAGATTCATAACAAAACGAACAAAGTCTTACAAACATATTTATGATAACCCAACCTAACATAACCGCCGCAGCGCCCTGTACACCTATTTGGTGGAGTACATGTGGCAGCTAGCGGCGGCGACGCATCCAACTCAATCTTCAACTACATAGCTGCCTTATGGGAGGCAGAACTTAAACTTAAAGGCCGCTAATCGTAATCTTGTCAAGTTTGGTCAGTAAGTCAATTAAAGTATGTTCTTTTCAATTATGTAGTTATTTTTGGTCTCCGGTAAAAAAATCCCTCTAAAATAAGTGGCCTCCGGATTCCAGAATATACCAAAGTACCAACTTATTATTATTTTTGAAACTAACATTTTTGGTTATCCAACAATCCCTGGTTGTGTCGGGTTATTGAGAGTCAAATGCAGTTGAAAATCATACATTGATGGGATGATTACAAGTTTTTAAATGTAGCCTCTTCTGTACTACTAAGATACTTTTTGTACTTAGGTCTATTTGAGTTTTAAAATATATTAACAAAATATTTCTTAGATTCGCCTGGCTGCTACTAATGAAGAATATTTTACGGATTTGGCGCCCCCGTACTGTTACTTGCGTGTGGGCCAAGTTCACGTTCCATGCAATGCTGACCAGATATTTGGACCGGCACACAGCCAAGAATCAGTGTTTGAATATGGAGCGAAGTCACTTAGTAATAATTTTTTAAAAGGTAAGATATCCTTTACATAGTTGAGCGCTTAATTGGTTTTGTTTTTAATTCTTACCGTAGCGGCTTTGTTGACTGGCCACAGTTCATGGGTGTCGTGTGAGGTTGTGAAAAGAAGAAAACATTGTACAGTAGACAATAGGTATATGAAGAGAAAAAAACATCAGCCACAATTACAGTTGTTATATAGGCATTGGCTAGCCTGATAAAGATTAAGTTAGTTCTATTAAAAATAAATTACATCGCTTTGAATTTTAATCATTGTTACAATTATGGTATTTAAATTATTCAAATGGAATTGAATCAAAATATAGGCATAAAAATATAGCCACTTACCATCTTTTGTATATTTACCATCTTGTGAATAACAGTATAAGCGTAAATATATGTTTTAAGTGTTATAAGACGTATCTTTATTTACTTTCCGTAAAAATATAGGTACGTAAGAGATTATGAAAATGTGACATTAGACAAACATGGGTACAGTATCACAATATTTCTTACATTAAGGTGTTTTTGTTTGATATGAATAACATTTAGAAAAAAACAGGATACATATGTATACATAGATTGAATTAACTAATGAACAATCTTGATATTATAATGAATAATGAATAGGTACTGGGGGACCAAGCCTTGCTCGGTTGTGGTTAATTGGGTTGGGTTTAATAGTTAAAACAATATCATAAAAAGACACATTTTATAATTTACGAACAATGTTTTACTACAAACAATTTAATCACTTGTAATGGGTCAAAATTATAGAGGGATTAAGATTATATATTTATCGTTATTTATTAATCAGTAGGCCTATTCCTTATCTGCTAGGTGATAGTGGTAAACCTATCTTGGCAAGGAAAATAGCTGTAGGCTACCTAATGCCCATCCTAGTGCTGAAGTTGGGATAACCTCACTTTTGGCAAAATCACTAACAACACTGTTTTTGAAGTATACAAGTCATGGAATAGCATTGTTGTGTACAAAATAGGTGATAAACTGTTTTTGTGTACGCCCATACCTAATATAAACCTTTGGGAAGTATGGCCAAAGAGGTGTTGTGCAAGCTAGGGCGGTGAATCGCGATCACGAATATAATATCATGTACATAACATGCATACACTTTGTCTAACACTGAATTACACATCACGGGTGGAAATTGTACGCCTTGGAATATATCGGGAACGATAATATAAGTTCCGCCTGATAATTTAACAGTCAGTGCAGGTAAATAACAACATAACCTCTACCACTAGCCGGCTGCCCTGGGCTTGTGAATCGTGGCAGCAACAGCCAGGGTTTTTGAACTCGTGACATCATCAGTCAGCTGGGAATGGATCAGCTGTTTAGGGGATTAGAGAGGGGGGAGGGAAGGAGATCCCTCGTGGGGACATTCATTCCCCATGTTCATTCCCGTGTTTAACTGAGTTAAGACTTGCTTTGCTAATTACCAGTAATTTTGTCATGTGATTTTGCCAAAGTGATTGAGTGTAGAGTGGGTTTGAGTAAAGGCACTTGGAATGTTACTATCGTTTTCAGAGTATTCAGTTAGTGATTAACCCTCACTTTAATATTTTAATCATAAAACTCACGTTAGGGCCTTTGATCGGTGTTAGAACCTGTTTAAGTCCCTGTTAACGTATGCTAGGGCTCTCGTGGGTTGGTGATAAAGATTTATATACAGATAAATATATTATCATTTAGGATTGTGTCTATAATTTATATTGAGGGTGTCGAGGTTTTTAAAATACATTGACGGGATTCTATCTGGTACTAAACTGCCGCGGGCAGAATTGAACCCGTTGTAGCAGGTTGTGCAAACACTAGGTCGGGTGAGCATTTTTACGTTAATAAGGAGTGTAATTTTTATGCTTGGTGGTAACCCTACTAAACTAAATCTTTCTTTAATTAAAATTAAAACTTCAGCCTTAGAATACTCCCTAAAATACGGTACTCCCGTTTAGATAGGCTATATCCTTAGACTAGATTAGCACGACAAGTAGGGGTCTCAATCCCGGGCCTTCAATCCAATCCCGGGATTTCGGGATTCGTCTCAGCCGATCCCGGGATCAATCCTGAGATTATAAAATATTATGATTTTTAACTTTTTAGCCATTTTAAATGAGCGAGAAGTCCCCTTATCGAGTACTTTAATGTTTCAAACTTTGGCCAGTGTTACACTGTGCAATGTTTCCATTTTCTAAGTAAATAAATATTACCACGCGGAACTTTCATCGCCCTTATTTCTTATTTACAGTGTATCTAGAATATAATAAATACATTTAAAAAATCACGAGCAACCGCACTTGCACGTAAGCTATACGTCACGCTCACGATAGGTTAAAGATAGCTAAGAGAAAAAGATAAAATGGGAAGAATCATGAGTAGCAGCGTAAAATGTTATTTTTACTTAACAGCAATAAAACAATATATGATACTGTAAAACAATAAACCTTATGCTTATGTAGTAGCATAAGTATGAAAAACTTAATTTTGGATTGTAAGAAATTTAATCACCACACTAATAATCAAATACGGAGATAAAAGTTATAGACCCTAAATATAAGCAATCTTAATAATGAGATTATAATCGTGTGTTTATAGTTATATTTTGTGGCTTCCATGAAAAAAATACTTAAATTTCCTTGCAATGTTATATTTGCTACTTGAATTGCGTTGTTTACGTTTCATGTCAAAAGTAAAACTCAAAATAACTTATAGGCCTACTGTAATTAAGTTCTAAATAATGTAATAACAATTACAGATAGTAAATCCAAATTGTCTAAAAACTGAAACATATATTTAGGCCTACATTCGTTCGCCTATTTGAGTTTAATGATAATTAAATTTTCCACTAAAAAAGATCATTACTTATACCATTTTATATTATAGGCTAGTCCTAAAAATTAAGAGTATATATGTGTTTCAAGTGTTATTGGACTATTTTTATTAATTTTCCGTAAGTAAAAGCCATAAAATTAACAAAAAAAATCAAAATAAACATAGGTTTTGCAATCCTGTTAATCCCGGGATTAAAAGACACCAGTCCCGGGATTTCTAGGTATCAAAAATCGGCCGAGATCCCGGGATTCGGGATCCCAGGATTGAGACCCCTAACGACAAGGTTAGCTTTGTCCGATTTAAGAAAAAAGCATATTTAAGAAAAAAGCATATTTTGTTTACTATTAGATTCATGTCATTTCATTAATTTTTAAACCTAATTCAACTAAATAAATACAGCTGCCCATATGTAAACTAAAAAAAAATAATGCATCAGGAATTGTAAAATCTACCCTTAAATAAGAGAGAAACATCGAGTCCACGCCAATGCACTCAAACATCACATGGACGAAACATGCATCAACTTTTTACATGTATATTTTCACTATTTACATTTAATGATAAAATCACTCATTTATAATAGCATATCTTTGCATGAACATTGTTTTGACATTTGTTTTGATATTCAATCAAGGAATGAATGACGTGTCTTACGTCGCTGTCGGCCCCCCGGGATCAGGCAAGACCTACACCCTGTTTGGCCCCGGAAGCCAACTAACCGACAGCTCTATCAGTTTTGGCATCTTTCAAAGATTTGCCACGCACACATTCTCGCAGGTTCAGGTAAGTTTTCATTTGTCTATAATTCACGTTATAAAGTACTAGTACAGTAAAATCCCGATGAAGGCTAGGCCATTTAGGATTTAATATATTTTCAGTTGGTCAAACATTGGAATTAAAAGGTTATTCTAATCCAAATAGATCTACAAAATTAGTTTTCGACATTAATTTGATTATAATGTTAAAATCTACAACTGTATACACCCACAATTTCATTTCTAAAATAATGGAAAATTTTCTGTACCTACTTTTTCCTTGTCATGGTATGAGATCCGCATCCTTATAGGAGTATTCTCTACCTAATTTTCCAATTGATTTGCATTTACAATTAATAATTCATAATTGTGTTTGTACCTAGGTTTCAGTTTAAAGGGTGTGTTAAAAGGAACTTTACTGTGTATGATTAATTTCAAACAAAGATATCTATTATTGTAGAATTATAAATACTATGTTTGTCTAGCACACTTTTAATTACTATTTACAAGTTCTAAAGATTTTAGGATCTAGCTGGCTTATTTGAGTTGGGGATAGAGTTCACTCCGACACACAAAACCCTCAAAAGGTTACACTTGTAAAACCTGAAACCGTCCTTCAATTTCATTTTCATTTGACACTCTTCAAAATAAAAACTTCACTTTCACGTATAAAACCTCACTTGATAAATAATTCTTAAACATAATAATATTTTACAATTAACCTGGTGAAAATATATCTTTCAATTTTCTCTTGTGAATCCGAGTCTATCCCCACTCTTTGACTGGTATACATATATCATGTAATGAAGAGAAATTATTCTAGTATGGATTAAAAAAAAGGGAGTGAATTAATTATTTTTGACTTTTATGATTGAACATATGTCACATGTAGGCCTATTAAATTTATGTCCAATCAACCGTTCCTTTAACATGTATAAATGTGTTTTGTCTTACAGCCTATGTACTTGGCAGGGGATGACCCAGCCATGGTCCTGAATGTTGCCTTCTTTGAAATCAGCCCAACTGGTGAACTAAAAGACCTTATTGACTGTAAAACAGTTCCACTTTTTGACTTGAAAATCAAGACAGAAAGAATGGTAAACAAACATTTAGTCAGAGAATTCTCTGAATTATTAATAAATTTAATTTATTTTCAATATTCCTAATACTTTTAAAAGTCAGAAGTTTAGATTAAAGGTGACTAGTAAAATGTAGATGTGTTAAATAATGCAAACTTTAGCGAATTTCCCTTTGGGAAGAAGCTATTACCATAGGTTGCACGGCAAGACCTAGACCCAGGATTTACTTTTTCATTTTGATGTCACCAGAGGCCAAAACCTACATAAAATACTCAGCACTTGTCATTGATTGGCTAACCTTCGCTCGTATCAAACCCCGTAGTCTGATTTTGTCCTTGGATGGCCTTGTGTGTTGTAAATATTGTAAAGTAAATTTTTCATTGTGTGTGTTTCTTTGTTTTGTGTAAAATATTTTTAAATTTGACAACGGCTAGTGCTGAGTAAGTTATGTTTGACATTGAGAAAAATGATTTGATAATGGGGTTGAAACCCCAAAACTAGTTATTCACTAGAAACAATAGGATTGATTGACGACAGGTCAGCAACCTTTATGTTATTTAATCAATGCGGGAGGCACATTATGAATAGAAATAGCATCTGTTTGATGTGTATTAAATAAATATTCTGGGTTTGGAGACTTAGTAATTTTTAAAAGCTATATGTTATAAAGAATGTTTTTACTAAATATAAACAGTATCAGCAAACTGACAAAAATTTCCTCTCATTTGCTTGACGTTAAAAAATACACATCCTACTTATTAGCAAAAAATTTAGAACAATTACACTGGTTAAAGTGTAAAAATAAGTAAAAAAAGCAAAACAATATAAATTACACTGGTAACTAAGGGTTTTTTTTTTGTAAAAAAATTTCAAAAATCAATAATACTTAATTATTGATTATTATTGTAGTTATTAATTATTATTGTAACTGTTACAGCATTGGGGGTTGTATAATTTAGTTTTAGATTAACATATACCTTAACGTGCTAAATTTTAAAAAAATTTGTTGGATTTATTTTTGTGAAAATTACATTTTTCTGTTATTTTATAGAAAATAACCACTAAAAATTAAAATTTTTTAAGAATGGAAAAAAGTTTGGAGATACCTTAGATTAGTACCCACATACCAAGTTTCATCTGTACACACACACATACACACAGACAGACAACACTTTTACTGATTCAAGGGGTCTTAAAATGGATATTTCCACCCAGATCTCAAACACGGAAATGTTGACAAAAACAATACTTACTCCATACATCTACTATGTACTGGGGTAGAAAGTAAGATATAATTTAAAAACATGTTATTTTCCAGAATCATTTCAAGTACATCACTTGCAAATCCGCCAAGCGGATGATTGATTGCTTGAACCACGCCCTTTCCAATAGGCAGCATATAGGACACATGGTGGCTGACATAGTACTAACACAACCCAATCTAGAGGATGGTGCGTATATTGATAGTTTTGATTGAATGTCCAAATAGCTAGTTTGAATTTCAAATTGTTCTTTTGTCATTGTCTTACTTTTACATGATGTGACGAATCGAGCACTTTCCTGACTCGCTTGACTTGACTCTACTCGTGCCCTTAACTAGAGCCTGACTCGTCTCGTACCGAACACAGGTGGTTTCTCCGAGTTGACTCGTTGTAGAGTAGACTCATCCGATCCCGACAGACTTTTCCGATGGCGACAAAAGCTCGGCATGACTCAGCCTTTATCTTCAAAATATCCGGAATATAGGTAAAAATCCAATTATCCAAATGTTTGATTACCGGTATACGAATCAGGTCCAGTCCCAACTGATTCGGATGATTGGAGTTTTACTGCACTTACTATCGTTTATTATTTCTACCCTTGCGTGAGTTGTTTACCCCAACAAAAAATACTTAAGCAATTTCAAAATTCAAAGATGGTGCGCTACTCGCATTCCGCCAATGGGTTGTTAGTTTCGCGAGTCTGACTCACTTTTGGCCTATGACGTGTTAGTTTTGCTAGTTGAGTCGAGTTGGCTGATTTCGTGTCAGCTGTGCATCTCCCCACTATAATATATGAATATTGATCTGTAACATTTTATATTTGTATTGACAACAGAAATGTAACGGCTAATTAAGTTGAATAAATTAATACCGTTGGTTGAGCATTAAACCAATCACCGATAGCGTCCTATCCCCCACCTGTCTAGTAGTGGTATGATCCTTTACTTCGGCCACCTACACTGGCTTCACCATTTAACTTATTCCTTACTCTATTAACCCTCCGAGTGTCCCTTGTTTTGGCCTTAATGTCTGCCTATTTTTTGCTCATTTGCAAGGTTTTATTAAAACGGATCTGAGAAGTTTGAAAACAATGTTAATTATACTGTTCTATATACCATTTTGTTTGGAAAATCACGGGCTTCAATATTATACATAAAACATAAGGAACATTTGTTTCAAAAATTTTGTTTAGGTAAAAAAAATATTTTGGAAAATTTAAAAAAAAAAAGTTCGCGCTCAATGAAATTGTATAAATTATAGGCCTATAAATATTTGAAAATAGCCACTTTGTTCGAAATCTTATGAGGATTACAAATATATAATAATATAAGGAAGTAGATTTGCAAATAAATAAGTTATGGGCAAAAAACAGATTTCAGTACATAGCGTTTAGCTAAGAATGCATAGCCTAACCATAGCTAGGAATCTGGCTGATAATTTACATCATTATCACTACCTACTTCTTCAGGATCATCAACCAACCTTTCAAAATCACTTAAATCTTCTTAGAATGCACCACGTATATCACTACTTTTTATTTTTAACACTAAAACAATGATAAACACAATAAAACACATCAGTCATCAGTCCGAGGTTAAGCAAGCTGTTTACAAATACGCACGTCAGCTGTCTGCTACAATATTTTCGGAACTAAAATGAATATTGCTTAGAGACAGACCTCCGGAGAAAGCTCTGAATCTGTAAAATAAAACGATACCTAACTCGATCCAGTTCAATCCGATTTCATCAGTCATAGAGCCTTCACCGTAAACAGTGTTTGTGAGTCGCTGCAGCGACACAAAACACTACACAAAGTGTGCTATGTGTCGCTGCAGCGATAAATGACACTCGGAGGGTTAATGTCAACTGGCAGTAGTCAGTTACAGTTCAATGCGACTATTTATTTTCACCCCAGTATTATGAGTTCTTTAAGAGTAGTGTTAAGAGAAGTGTCAATTCAATGAGTTCAAACATTCCACTCACGAGTTTGACAACTGACAAGTGAACTCAAACTATGATAAAAATAGTCAATGAATCATAACCCAGTTTTTAAAATGTATACTCACTGACCTGATCGATTTAACCTGAATAATTCGAGTAGGCCTAGATGGTGTAAAATTAGTGCACATCGGAGTACCCTTGGATTTACTCGTGTCAGTTTGGGTGTGATTCGAATTGACAAAAACCTGACTGGAGTGAACTTTGCCACATCACTAATCTATATATTTACGTGAATTTAAAGCTATTACTCATAGGTTCTGAGCTACCAGTTTTGGCATTGATAAGTTGTTCTCCACTATATCTTTAAAGCAATAATATTTCTAAAACTGCTCTAAAAGATACACAACTTTACTTTACTTTAACTTTTTTAAAGCAATACATTTACATACCAAATCTTCTATCTCAGCTTTGGCTATTCTTTTGTAGTTTTGTAGATCTCTGTTACAGTTTCTGTCAAGCTATAATCTAATCCATAAGAGCATCAAAATTACCCATGTCTCGATGTCGTCCAACGGCTAAGACACATAGAAAACGCATCATACCAGTACCCCAATCTTCCTACATCCAAACCAGACATGCCGAACGATACGCTAGCATTATCTATGGATAAGAATAATTATCAGGACAAACCTATTATTGAATGTCAGGAATTTTCCGATATAGATAAATTTAGATATATAGATAAATATAGATAAATTTATATACTTTATATATTTTTTATATATTTTTATTAATTTTATTATTATTTTAATTTTTTTATTTTTTTTATATATTTTTAGATATAGATAAGTTTTTATAGTTTTAATAGTTCAGATTCACTTTGTAACAAAATATTCAGTTTTAGAGTATTACAGTTAAATATTCGGAGCTATAATAAAAACTTTGATGAGTTTTTAGTTTTATGGCAGGGTCTCCAGATAAAATTCCATTGTATAATTTTGACTGAAGCTAGGTTGAGGAACGACATTGAGCTTACAGCCCTAGAAGGCTATACCCTGTTTAGGACATACAATAGCCTCAATCAATATGATGGTCTGGTTGTGTACTTAGATGACACGTTATTAGCAACATGTAACCAGATTTGTATAGGTGGAGTCGTCACCAGCTTGTCCATAGTTTTTACCTGGGCCAATATTGATTGTGAATTAATCTGCATCTACAGAAGTTCCTCCTCGTCACTAGTTACATTTAACGACTGTCTTCAAACATTTATTAGTACGACAAACAAAGAGTCACTTAACATTATCGCCGGTGACATTAACTGGGACATTCCTAATCCATGTTTAAATTCACAAGAGGAACGATACCTTGACTTGCTTTATGAATTTGGATTTATTCCATGTATAGATAAAATCACGCGGCCAGTTAGTGATAGGCTACATGTATCGACCATTATTTTATAAAACTGCCAAACAGGCTGAATGTCAACACTTTTGTTTTACAAACTTACATTACAGATCATTTTATCGGTTCTCTTGAACTGAAAATCTTTACAGGTATTAGTAACGGCAACAAGTTTACATACAAGAATACTAATTGGAAAAATATAACTGTAACCTTGAAATCTCAAAATTGGCAAAAAGTTTTAAATTCAAATGACTTAGATGCAGCAACTATAGGCCTACATTTCAATTTGATTTTGCAGAATATCATAGAACAAAACACGTCCCAACAAATATTGAGAGCTAAAACGGCTAAATTACAACCATGGATTACAAATGGTCTTCTTACTTCTATCCGCAATCGGGATAAATTAAGTAAAAGAGTTGAGCAAAACCCATTCAACATTCAGCTTCATGCAAGATATGTCAGATACCGTAACTCATTGAAATCGTTACTAAAATGTGCAAAAAATGATAGAAATAAATTAGACGAGTCTCAGGGAAATCCACTAAAATTCTGGGAAATTGTTAATGATGAAGCAGGGCGTCCTGCTGGCAAGCCTAAATTTCCGTTGGAAGTTTTCAGTGTGAACCGGGATACTGCCCCCACCAATGATATTAAACACATTTGTGATATTTTCAACGAATACTATGCCTCTGTTGGATCTCAGCTAGCCGAAGCGCTTCAGCCCGCCGGCCCCTTGGAGGACGATGACGCTGACCACGGCACCGATTCCCAGTTCTCACTAAGGCCTGTCATTGTTGAGGAGTTTTTATAAGTTATAAAAGGTATTAGAGGCAACTCTGCACCGGGATGGGATGGCTCCCTAAAAAAAAAAATTAATAAAAATAATGTAGATTCTCTCATTTTACCAAAATTATACATAATTAACCTTAGTATACGAGAAGGGAAGTTCCCAGAGGTGTTTACAGTCGCAAAAGTCATACCTGTTCATAAGTCTTACCAAAAAACCCTAACAATAAGACCAATTTCATTAATTGCACAGTGTATAAAATTCTTGAAAAATGTGTAAAATTTCAGCTATCGGTTTACCTTGAACAAGAGAAAATTATATGTGATAATTTAGGCTATGGATTTAGACAGAACCGCAGTACATCACACTCATTTGAAATAACCAAATTTATTTCTGAAGAAATAAATAACAAGGAGCGTGTATTGATAACATTTCTAGATTTGGCTAAAGCATTTGATTCCATTAACATACAATATCTAATTTCTAAATTGAGACTAGTTGGCATCGGTGGTCATTCATTAAACTGGTTTATAAGTTATTTAGAAAATTGGTTACAATATGTGTCCATCAACGGTGTTTATAGTGATAAAACTAGCATTGACTATTGAGTATGGAGTGGCCCAAAGTAGTACACTCGGGCCCCTCCTATTCTTAATAGGTATATATTAACCTTTCAAAGGTCAGAATTAAAGGGAAAGTTTTTTGTTTGCTGACGACATGGCCGTGGTATCGTCTGGACGCACTTGGGATGAGGCATATGAACAGGCATCTACAGATATTTATAAAATTAAATGCTGGTTAGACCAAAACACATTAACATAAGTAAAACCAGGGTGTCTACCAACCGGGAAATCCGGCAAAACCGGGGATTGTACTTAATTTTTTACTGGCCATGAAATGTACGGGAATTGTCCTTAAATGCCATACTATGTCCTTAAAATTTTAATGGGCCATAATTTTATCGATAGCTAGTTGGTTAGGAGCACATAAAAGGTTTATCAGATGTTTGTTTACATTTTCATAATTTATTACTAGAGTAATTATGCAATAAAAACCCCATTAGCATCAAACCCATTAATATTTTATCACTACAATCAAGTATCAAGTCAAGTACCTACTTCCAAGAACTGTTGACTCAGTAGTTTAGCTCATAAAAGTTTTATCACTTTTATTCCTTTACAACTTCTTTATTTATTACTAGGGTAATAATTGAATGGCTCCCTGGAAAAACGTTCCATGCGCCGTTTTGTAAACTTTACAGAAACTAAAAAAAACTTTAAGAGAGTAATTTTTTAAAGTTTATTTTTGGATTTTTTTAGATTGTACTTGATAGGTCTAGTCAAAACAATGTTATTAGGATTTTTTTTCAAGTCAAAATCCAAATTATTAAGCTTTTGGCATTTTAAGTGTAAATGTAGTGGAAAAACGTTGCTTGGGCGTAGTTGGTATGCACAAGCAACGTTTTTCTACTGAAACATAGTACTCTACAATACTGGCGTTTGGAACGTTTTGTAAAGAATCAAGTTTTAATAGCTGCAATAATTCATTATTTTTATTGCTGAGGTACAGAATTTCTCAAACTGCAAGAGAAAGATTTTTTTTTACAATATTGAATCTTATTTTACTAAAAAAATACACAATATCTTTTTAACGAAACGTACATAACCCTTAGCCTTTGTATTAAGCTGATATTGTTTGTGTGCTTGGGACTTTTAATTTTACAAAATTGCACTTTATTTAACTGAAAGAACACACAAAATCTTGTAAAAAAACGTATTATCTTGGTATGGTCAACAACAGTATAGTCAGTCGAACAAAAGGTATAGTCTTGCAGCCCTTGTGTGTGCAGGAACATGAGAAATCCTTAAATAAATCATTCCATTCAATTAACAAAAATAACATATAAGACTGTAAACAGTAAATTGACAACAGATAGGTTGTAATTTACTAATAATTAGTATTTAGAAATGGAAATTAAATTCCTATGTCCTGGTAAATATTCTGGATCACACAGGTTATAGTTTTCAACTGTAGTGTGCACTGTAGCACAAGTAACGTTTTTCCACTTACCCCAGAAATAGGTACTTTTTCAGGCACTACTTCATTTTTGTAATTTTTTTACTCTTTCCCACTATTTCTATGACTCTTCTTAACATCCTTCTTCCAAAAACATATATTTAACTTTCGTTTTTTGCCTCTATTTAATTGTTTAATAAGGCCTGACACCGGTGAAGACATGGTCTTGTCTGCCCAATACGCTGCACAAGGAACGTTCTTCCAGGGAGTGCCAAATTCCCCTACCCATAATTCAATGTTTTAGTTATAAAATCGGCCAAAAGATGTCACCACTTGATAGACCAAAGCACAAGGAACGTTTTTCTATCAAAAACCTGCAAACTCTAATTCTGGCGCTTGGAACGTTTTTCCGGGGAGCCATTCAATTATTAGATCCCAAACCTATTTCATCATGGAAATAATAGTTTTATAATGGCAGTTAAATTTCACTTCTTACTTGTACTTTCCATGAAGATTCAATTTGCCGCTGGCCATTGCCTAGTGCCATAAAGCTGTTTATGGTTTCATATTAAACCTGTAACTAATCTACAGTCTTATTTTGTAAGTTAACCCCTTTTTTGTGGATATTTTATCTTTCAATTGACAAAACCACAAGCATTGTTGTTTGCATTAATTTTTTATCACTACGTTGGCCTAGTTGGTTTCAAATTATGTCATTGCATTTTCTGTATCTTTGTCTTATATTGTTGGCGTTCATGTTTTAATTTTTTTTTATTCCCCATATTTATTTATTGTGTTGTATGCTTTAAGCAATCTAAATCTTACTGAACTAGAATGATGGTAGTGACTTTGTTTATATTATAACCTCATTGTTTGTTACTCAGTTTATATAGGCCCTCCTTAATTCCTAAATTCCTAAATTGGCCCTCCTAAAAGGTCTAGGCCTGGGTATTTTGATTCTTTGGAAGAGCTGTAAAATATACCAAGAAAATGTAATTGAGCCTAAGATAAACTAATGATTGCTGTGTGTCGATATTAACTTTGCAGATGAAAAGACAATTATCTTACTCTGTACTTACTGGTAGCTGCTTAACATACCGATTTTGTACCTAGAACCGAGTTACAGTATATGCATTATGCATTAAAGATGTTTTTTTTTCAAAAGTAGTCGAGAATCTAATGTTGTGCCAGGGCGAATCATGTCAATTTAATCCGCCTGGATCCGATAAGCTATTTTATGATGTTTCCGTGACTGATGGAGATATTCAGGATTTTGTCGCTATCACAGGAGACAATGATTGCGTTTCTCTTTTACACTATAAAAGCTGTACCTAATGTATATGTCTGTTTACTTTCAATAAATTTCTATTTTGAAATTTAACTCTTGTCCATTAATATTTACTTTTCTCTCTGGTACAACTACAGTGAAAAACAAGATTAATACAGTTTGCCATATCAGGAAAATTATTCTGTAATCACACCGACAAATGTTACGACAAAGTGTCCTTAAATGTACGGGAATTGTCCATGAATTTTTTATCCAGAAAGTAGTAGACACCCTGAAAACAAAAAGTTTACCAATTTTTTAAGAGTGAAAGTGACCCTAGCCCTAGGCAACTATTTCTTCATACCTGCGGCGACCTTCGGTCAGCGGCTTGTGCTTGTGACGTCATAGAGCGGGTAGAGAAGTACACTTACCTAGGAATTATAATTGATCAAAAATTTCTTTGGGCTCACCACATTCATTGTCTCAAACAACGACTTAGAAAGCTCATATATGCATTTTCTCAACGTGCTGGAGTAGGATTACCACGGATTACGTAGGATAGTTTACTATGCTTACGTGCAGTCTTTGCTTCAATATACTGGCATGGGGCAGTGTCTCGGCCTCTATGCTTGAGCCTCTGGCTGTTGCGCAGAGGTCATTAATCAAAACAGTCCTAAGCAAACCATCGAGATATCCAACAGACTCAGATTTACGTGTTGATGATATAAAACAATTATTTGTAAAAACTCTTTTAGTCTTTATTAGGTTAAACAAAAACAACATTTTTACCAATTTGCAGCATAACTATTCTACAAGACATACAATCAACTTTGGCTACCAATTTCCTAGATTAAATACAACCTCCCTAAAAAGTAACCCATGTTTTTTTCGCCCATATCTTATATCGCAATCTTCGCCACAAATCCTGGTGAGTACATGGCTTGCCAGCATTAGCCGGACGGCTACGCAGGGGCTGGTAAAATCCCCATATAATTAAGCTCATTAGAATAAAAACCTAAACATGTTAGTAAACTGCTGAGACCCTGGCATTGTAGCTACATCTTTCAGTTGCAAATTTTGATCTTTATTTTGATCATTTATCGTTTGACAACAATGAAAGATGGATAATTTTGGAGCCCTGATGGATATGATTATAGCTTGACTGAAGCTGAAACTTTGGTCATCCACTGCAAAGGACAGGTCAGACATGAGATGGAGAATCAGGTTTCGAGGTTTGTATAGTATTTGAAACAACCTTTGTGGCCAATCTCAATGAATGATTTTATAGTCTATTGTTTGTGATTTACAGACTGCAGGCCTGTAACAACGTCAGTCTTGTTTGTTGACGTTGATAATCTGCTTTTCAACACGGAAACCCACCAAATACAGGAGGATTTACATATCCTGACAAGTCTTCTATCGCAGGCACGAGGAGAGCCTCCTCAAATCAGCAGATTTGAGACGCCTCTTTACAGAATTCTTCAGGTGATTGATTGATTGAATTGTAACAAATCTATACCTATGCATGTCAGCTGCAAGTGGGCTCAGAGCCTGTCAAACCTACTATACTTGCATCCTGTCTGAGCCACTCCTAAGGGAGGAGTCTGCCCCTTGTAAAGGTCCATGCCTCATTAAGAGCTGTGCTGTCAGTTATAATGTAGACGGTCTGCAGTCTCCTCAGACCACTTGTCTTTCAATTTACTGTTAAAAACATCGACTTAACATATTTGAATTTAACACTTACCCCAATTATTTTTTGACGTAATGCTAAACATTTATCAGTGCAGAATTAAAATAAACTAGATAATCCGTTGCTCAAAATCGAGCAAAACTGCAACTTCTAATAAAAGAATAAAGAACAAAAACATAAACCTCAAATCAAAGAGTCACTCTAAAGTAATTTCTATGACTGATTATAGAAATATAAAAAGTATTATAAAAGTTATCTACAATATTTAAAATAGATCCGCTCTCATACTCTTTTGTCTATCTCTTATGTACTGTAGGCGAGCGTCCTCTATGAGCACGCAGATGTTAACCACACACTGTAAAGTGAGCTTTTCAGACCTAATGTAGCAAGCTAAATCCCTCTCTTGACGCCAACCAGTGCAACACGTACTAAAGCATTGTTAAATTTAGGGATGGTCAAGTCTCGAAATTTAGGGAAATTTTCAATCTCGTTACACGAGACGAGATTTCTTTTTTGGCCAAGATTTTTATCGAGACGAGAATAAAAAAAAAAAATTAAAAACGCCTGCAAAAAGTCAATGCAATACCCGCAATACAGGATCGTGTTGTAGTTGCGTTTCCTTTGCGAAGGCGTTCTTATTTAATTAATTCTTTCAATGTAAATATTACTTTAATTATTTTAATAATATTACTTTAATAACATTTGAGAAGTTTTGTTAAGTGTAAGCAGTGTGAGGAATGTTTTATTACTATAAAAAAAGTCAAAACAAGTAACTATTTTATAAAAATTAATATTGCTTTTATTTTATGATTTATTTTATTTTAGGATAAGTTGAACTCTATCCTAACTGATATCACCATGTTTCCTAATCGTAGGCATTTTTAATAAGTTAGGCGTGATTAATAAAAAAATGTTATGCTGATGTTATTTAAAAAAAGATTGTAAATATTCTTGCCTATTATCATTATTTTTGTATTTAAAGAGTCATCTAACAATGTTACAAAATCAGGTAAAAATTTCGAATGAGCATTTCCCGTTGTGTATGAGAAGAGAAATCTCGTCTCGATCTCGTCTCAAAATTTTATGAGAAATAAAAAATCTCGTCTCGTCTCGTCTCGAACTAAAAATCCAATCTCGTCCATCCCTAGTTAAATTATTTCATTCTACCATATGTTCTGTTTTAGGCGAGTTTAAATTAATGACCCCAATTTAAGTCTCCAGTTTGGAACATAAGAGAATAAGCAAACGGATCTAACGGCAGATATAGTACGGATACCCGTTTAACATTATAATTTTTTGGGAAAACTATAAGATTTATTTGGCCAGGTGGTACTCTGTTTTCAGCTTTAAAAATAGCTGCAACGTCTATACAGGTAGCATCATTGTGGCGAGGGAAGTCAAGATACAAGAACTTTATTGTTAGTAAAATACATAATATGGTACATTAGTATCTCCTAACTCGTCAATTAATCCTAAACATAAACATAATTTAACTTCTTCACCTTCACATCTCTTGATTTATAAACCAGACTTAGTTAACAAATGTTAAAATAAAAAAATACATTCCGGCATTGCTCTGGAAGTAAAAAGCCCTGCAGTCTGCTGGTTAATCCTAAAAACTATTTCAATCTGCATCCAAATGTGTAGTTGGAAACAAAGGGAATTGAGTTTGATCTAATGTCAACAGATAGCGTCGCCGTTCCCAAATTTTAGCCCTTAGCCTAAGCTGGTTAGTGTCCTTGATCAAAGGAAATTGTCAGTTAGCTGAAATTTTAAAGAAAAATTAAGCTTGGTACTTAAAATTGTCTTGATAGTACAGATAAAACATATGTGTGATGTTGTGAAGCTCTAGACCTCAAAACAATTCTTCAAATACGAGGGTAGTTTTTAAGTAAGGGGCGTTTGTGCGTATGACTACTTAGTTTGCGTGTAGCCGGAGCAGGGCTCCTCGCTGCTTACATTACTATCACTTATGAATAGAACGGCGCCATTTGTAGTTCTGTAGCTAAGGTGTACACTTTGGCGTGTCTACATTTATTCATATTTTTTATTACTGAATCCTCTGCCACATGGGAGATAAGGTCAGTGATAAAATGTTTTTTGTTTGGAAGAAACGTATCGGATGCAGACATTCATTGCCAGAAGCTTATGGCTCTATTACAATGAGAGGGTAAGTTAAGTAATGGATTAGGGAGTTTTAAAACGGCCGTAAAAATGTCCATTTTGGAATCAATTGTGGGTTTTGTGGGTAACCAGACTTCTCACAGAAGACCACAAAGGAAAACGATTTTCACAGCAATTCTTATACTCCTTAACCCATTTTTGATCTTTACCCTCACTCATTACATTAAGGCTATAACCTTCAGTCATCTGGCGAAGAATTTCAGCATCGGATATGTTTCTTATAGGCAAAAAACATATCACTGACCTTATCTCGCATGGGGCAGGAGATTCAATGATTTAACAAATTTTCACAGTGAATCATACACGTCAGCTACAGATCTGCAAATGGCGCCATCAGTAAGGGGTGAGGAGCTATGGAACTTTACACAAAAACGGCCCTTAAAAACTTACCTCGTTTTTAATGTAGACAGTGTTGTTTGCCATGAAAATGTACAAGTGAATTTTTTTTCAGAATTTATTCGATGGGCAACGCTGTTCACTAATTTTCTTCTGCATTTCACCAAGTTTCAATAGTTGCACTAGTAATGCGCCGTACATAGCTCTTCTGTCAAGCATATCTGAACTGAAATACACAAATGTAAATCTGAGGACCCAATGTGAAAATCAAAGGTAAGTCTATCGATTATCAGCCAAGTTATTATGAAGTGTATACATTGTGATTTTTTTTGCACAATAGTTAAGCCAAGAATTCACATGTAATTTTTAAATCTAGATGGTTCCAGCGTAAAAAAATGAAGATCAGTATAATTTAGATAAAGAGGATCTATCAATCTAATGACTCGGTTTTCAAGAGTAGACTTTAGCTTAAACCTGTGGTGTTTAAGGTGTTCTTGAGTCTTGAGTATCTAATACTATACTAGGGACCAAGTAGTTCTCTCAGAGCTTATTTAACCTATTAGTATTCCTGCCAAGTTTATTGTTCTGAATACACTGATTTGCAGTATTTTAGACTTACGCCTTGTTCAGTTGTAAAATTGTTCTCAAACTTGTACTTTTAAATCATTGCATACTATTTCCATTGTTTGCAGTGTTCATTTTTGTTCTGTACTATTCTTTTCCTTCTTGAGAAGGGTTTCCCTGGCTTACTCTATATCAGAATAAAATGTACTTCAACACATAAACAGATGAATTCTTCTATATGTGATTTGTTACATATTGGCTAAAAAGTACAAAACTATGAGTATGCATAAGGCATGTTGAACTATCACTACAAACTAGAGGAGTGCGGATATCCGAAAAATCGGGTCAAATTCAGTTCAGTTTGGATATCCGTTCCTGAACTGACTGTCCGTATCCATATAAGCAGCTTATAGTAATATACGTTATTGGCGTCCACCGAAATCTCGGAAAGATTCAAATTCAAATTTGTGGTGATTCCAATACAGATTCCTAACTCGTCTGCGAAGATCGCGCTATCCGAAAATTATCGCTATTCTGATGATACTGATTGCTGACTCTTCTACTAAAATCGCGCAATTGGAAATATACCGCTATTCCGATACCGATTTTTGACTTTTCTAACAAGATCTAATATCTAATCAAATATAATATCCTTTTCAACTAAACAATCAAAAACAGCATTGAACCTAACATTTTTATAAAAACAGACAAAATTGTTCAGGTAAACCAAACAAAGTTTCTGGGACTGGTCATTGATGAAAATCTATCTTGGGATAGTCACATAAACCTTGTTGTAAATAAATTATCCTCTGACATTTATGCCTTGCGGCTGATGTCCAAGGTTTGCAACTTTGGGTTTGGAAACACTTAGGATAATCCATTATTCTTTAATTCACTCTCAGATATCCTATTGAATCGCTATTTATGGAGCAACAACTAAGGCAAATTTGAATAAAATACTTATAAAACAAGAAAACGCTATTAGAATTATCATGAAATTAAAAAGGAAAGATTCAGTTAAAAATATTTTTCCTGAATTGGGTGTGTTAACAGTTAACATTTTGTATACAGGGTTAGGCAAAAGTCTGGAACCCCCAGCTAACTTTTTAACGCGTTGCAGTAAGAAAACCAAACTCGGTACATATTTTTTAACATAAGAAATTGCCCTTTTTCATCAAAGTTACAACTCTGCCCCAGCCCCAAAATGGGGTATTATGGGGGCAGCCCCAATTTTTCAAATGTAAACACCTATCATGTGACCCCTGATTTTAAAGGGTTTATCAAGAGAAATTGAATGGCACAAACCAGAGGTCAATATCACACCCCTAATCAAAATGGCAGCCATTTTAATTTTTTAAGATTAGCAAGCAAGATAAAGTCTGGACACCCCCAGTTAACATAACACAGCTGACAACAAAATGAGGAGGAATTTGGGGGTAAAAATAGCTTAGGAGCATTCCCAGGATGAGTTGCGTGAAGTGTAGAGCTGGACACGACTGCCGACACCCATTATGCATATTTATATTAACAAACACTACAAGTGTGGAGGAAAACTCCCCAAGCGTCCGCTCGAGGGTTAACTACCGATCCGCTCAAAACCTAGCCAAGCCTTTACTATCCGATCCGAACTGAAATTTCACTATCCGCACACCTCTACTACAAACTTATATAATCAAAACAGTAGGAGGTCCACTGTATATGAATTTTGAAAGAAATATCAACAAATGGCTGGTCATAACATTTTGTAGTTGCTATTTGTTATTTGAGAAATGTATTTTTGCTGACACAAGAATTTTGTTAAATGTGAAATATTGTTCTCAGGGAATCCCAGCAAGAACATCCCGTCCAATTGTTAGAGTGTATAGGTAAGTCTTACAATACTTACTGTTTGTATTAATTTTGTTGTTAAGATCATTATTACTTATAATAGATATGTTTTTAAAGGCCCACTCTTAAAAATTACCTCAAACAATCTTTTTGCAATTGGAGTGAAATGATTAACATCTCAACTACTTTACTTGATCTAATCTCTGTATATAAACATTTTAGTAATCTAGCTTCTGCAGTCGCAATGACGTCTACGACATTGATGCAATATAGGCCTATGTGGTGAGATCTTAACTTGTAATTCTAGATGGATATATCTTGAAACGAACATTGAAGAATTGAAAGGCTATTAAATTCTCAGAAAGATTTTGCCTGACCAACAATGCTTCTCTCCTTCTGCAGGTTGAAGATGGTGCCATGTGTATCTGTCATATAGAACTTGATCTCCTAAGTGACATTTTTCTGTTTGGTATTCTCAGACTGTTCTCTGATTATCGAATGCTCTTCTTTTCATTCTTGTCCTGTGCATTTCAATTTCTATAATGTCTGGTCTGCTTCAGTCCCTTATCTCTTTTCTTCTAATTTGCAATACATCTTGATCTTACAAACATTTTGCTCTACTATATTTTAAATCACAATTAACCTATGTCGGTCTTCGATTAATGCCCATGATTCCGATTCAGTAGTAGGCCTACTGAATAATAAATTTGTATCGTGATATTTAACGTTTAAATGTTTTTCAAGAAGCAGTATGTGATTTAAACTGCAGTTAAACTAGTTTTATTTCATGTTCTGTCAATTGTTGTAATGACTACTCCAAGGTAGACTCTGGCTCATTTACTATGGTCCTTTATACACTTATGTCCACCATTTCATAATGTTTCTTTAGTTGGATTTCTGAGATTCTCTTGGTCTATTTTCGGCTATCAATGCTATATCATCATTAAATGGTAAATAGTAACTTTTTTCAACACTGTTCCTGTTTAATACTTCTAAATGTATCCCCTCTTAGAAGTTAGGATAGGAAGCACCAGCCAACACCAACTTTATTATCAATGGGCTTTCTTCTTTGTTCCACAAAGGATTCTTTCAAAATGTTCAGTTTCAATTTTGAAGTTTTTTAGCCTCTTTTTTAATCTCTTCCTCCAGGAAAGTCACCTCCTTCAGCTATTTGATCTGAAGCTTGTATGTTTTGCACCTTCCGGCTACAGTATAGACCTTTGGAACTTCCTGATTGGAGTATTTTTATGCCATACCTGATAAGCGTCGAGGTAGGCCTAGGCTAAAGATTCACTCTCAAATACGTCCGCCCACCACAGTTTGTTGTTGCATGCATGCATGCAATCTCTTTTGGAAAGGTTCACTTAAGATGTTTTACACTGACATTGCGCATGATAATAGCTTCCAAAACATCAAATATGTGTCCCATCAAGATGAGTTTAGTGATCCCTATTTCATCAGGCATGCTTCCTACTCCATCCATTGTGATCCATTGTGAGGAATTTGATTTGTGTTTGGGATTTTTCTTTATCATTAAAATTTCCCCAGATAATTCAGGGTGTAGGTATCTGAATATCCAGAGGTCTAAGTCTCGATTCCCTTATATATCTTGAGATTTAAGCTCAGTCCACAGCTCATGCCTACAATGGACTCCCTTCGAGATGTCCACCTCGAGATATCGAATCTGGACTTGGAAGCTGTGGCCTTTACATTCAAATTCTCGTGGAAACTTATGTTTACCAAGGCCCTATCTACTGACTTTAGGTTAGAACAACTATCCATTACCATAACTGGAGTGTGGTGACTTATTTGGTCATGGGTTGGTACTTATCGCAATCTGTAGTCCAATGCCCAGTTCATGAGATTTTTGACTTTCTTTACTAGTTAATCTATGTACTTCTTATCTCTACTGTATCAAGTCTTATAGCGTAGATCAGATGGTAGACTTTGTTGAGGATCATTTGGTCTTGTACTTCGAAGGGAGAGAGTAGATGCTCATAATTTACAATCTCCATCGATGAGCGTTATGGAAATGTTTGTCTTTGATCGATTGACAATAAGATGAGATCAATTTCAGTATCAAATTTCTGATATTGTGCTGTATTTGAATTATCCAATGATCCTCCATGTTTTTGCTGTCTTTGGAAGAAAACCGCTGATTCAGTCAATACCTTGACTTGTTTATTAAAATTAGATCATCATTCTTTATTTCAACACCAAACTTGACCTCTATATCATTTAAAAAAAATATAAAAAATTGGAACCTGTTCGAATCAAGTTGATATCCGAAACAATACTACCAAGACTAATTGGGACCCCCCAGTTAAATGTTAAAAACATATTGATAAAATAAAAGGATTACCTTATCCAACCACAGTTGCTGGCATGAACACTTGTTTTGTTCCTTAGAACTTCGTCAGGTCATTGTATGCAACCACATCATCAATGTATTAATTCATTGTGGTATGTCAGAAGATTCTTTAAAACACTGTCAGAATCACAATAGTCAAAACTAGTCATGTTGATCAAATGATTAAAATGGAATAAAAAGTTACAAAACTGGTTAAAACTGTAAAGGCTGGCCAGCACTGTCTTATCATTGTCACTGACTAAATAAAACTGACTGAATCATGAGGTGTTTTCTTCTCTTCAGAGCAGGTGGCACTGGAGAGAAGAAAACAGGTAAAGTAGCGTAATCAAATCGTGTAATTATCCTTAACGACACTCGTAGAAGTTTTAAATTCACTCGCCAAGGCTCATACCTTAAATTTTCTACTTGTGTCGTCAAGACTATACTTATGTGGTGGTTGCGTACACTACTATCAAGCAAAACCAATAGGACAAGGCTTGCCATGTTCTACTAAAATTTTAATACTAATTACTCACACGTGCTTGACACATTTACTGTGTCCTAATTCTGATATCAGTTGTTATATATTTTTTTAATTTGTCTGGTAATGGTATCCATTACAAAACCAAACTGAACAGGAAATATATAGCATGAGCATGCATGTGTGTTTTAATTTGCATGATACCTACACTTTTTAAATGTTTATTCTTATTTATTTATCATTATTCTTATATTTATATATTATTTATTAATTTTGTGTGTGCATTTGACACCAAACATGTTGGATTTCAATTTTGTTGTGGTTATTATGCTTTATAAGGAGTTTTTTTTAGACGATTAGTCCTTTAAAAGCAGTTTAGTATTATTTTTCTGATACACTTTTTAAATGTGTTTGTTTTTAGTTTGTTTTATTCTTATTTATATATATTATTATTCTTATATTTATTTCTTATTTATTTATTTGTGTGTGCATTTGACACAAAATATGTTGGATTTCAATTTTGTTGTTGTTATCATGCTTTTTAAGGAGTTTATTTTAGAAGATTAGTACTTTAAAAGCAGTTAAGTATTATTTTTAATACTTATAATAAATTACAATTATATTTAATTCACACACTTGAATAATGTGTGAATAATGTTTATTTTTAGCTGCAATTTTTTATGGTGGCTTAATCGAGCTGTATAAGTATTCAAAGTTGTAACTCCACCAATTGGACATTGCTTCAAGTTTCACAAGGAATTTTGTTTGAAGTACATAGGTAAGTAAAGCTAACAAAGGCAACATCAGTGTGGGAACAACTCTATGGCTATGTATTCATTGAAAACACATGTTTCATATCTTAAAAACAGTGTAGTTAACTTTTAGTTCCTCATCGTTAGATCAAATTTGCCCAACAGTATATTAGAAACTAAATGAACAATCTCTTGAGATTTGTAAAAAAAAATCAGAGATCATTTAGATACTTGTCAAGACACATTTTAAGAAGTAGTTTTCCAAGTTTAAAGATGTTTCCTTTTTTGGCATGCAGACTTAATTTTTTGCATCATACACGTGTTTTACCAAATAGATTTGTAAAACATTTTCTTACATACTGATCTTCTAGCTTGTAGGTATTAAGAAAAGTTTTGTGTTAAATAATTTTCAGAAGAAGTAACTGAGAGCGAAGAAGAAATTGCAAGTTCCAACGGGAAAATGTCCGAATCTCTCTCCCAAGACAATTCCCTGTCTGAAAGTGACAGAGAAGACGGCGATGTTAATATGTGTCAGTTATCTGATAATAATTTCAGCAATAGCCTCAACGTCATGTGTGACAAATTTAACATGTTTGTTGACAAATTTGTTGACAGCTTTAAAGCCAAGACGAGTTTGTCGCCAGTTAAAGAAAGAAAACACGACTATTCTTCGACAAGGCGAGGTGAGCCACTGTATTTAGTTAGATCACAAACAAACTCACCTGAATTTTAGCCCCACTCAGTAGCACTGTTTTATATTCTCATTGGGCTAAATTTTGAATACAAAAAGCTTGAAATATATGTATTATCCATACAGTTATGTTATATTTTACAATCATTTAGTTTTTTCTATATTGACTTTGACACACAGTACCTTAATAATATTAAAGGTGTTTTTTCTAATTTACTATAGCTAAAGCCACACAATATGCAATATGCTTTGCATTGAAATAATACCTAATCCTTAAATTTAAAACTTAATCAGTTCAGTGGACCATAAAGATACAGGAAAGTGTCGATTATCTGAAACAATTGGGGTAGAGGGGTGCTTGGATAATCGGTTTTTCGGATAGTCGGAAATCAACGTAAAATGGCTTTATTTCTTTGTTAGGTGTAACTGAAATCCCTCAATCTTGGCATCAAGTGTTTAATTTGAGCTACAAACAACATTTTCGATCATTGTAGAAACTTTAATTTACTAATTAACATACCGAAATTGTCAGTACTGGTAGTGATTTCGCCGAGATCTTCGGCAAAACTGACCACATCATATCACCATTATCATCTTCAGTTACTTTACATAGAGCAATAAAACATAGCAACCTCAGCAAAGCATAGTATAATGTACATGCTTCAATTCTCAATGTTCAGCACATACGCAAACTTTGTAATAAATGCACTACTTTTTAATGTCAGTGATTCTCGATTTCCCAACTCACAACTCAACAAGCTAAGATTGAACGCACTTTAACTTTTTTTTTACCGTTTTTCAGCAGATCTAATATTTTAAGTTTGTCAGTAGGGATGGACGAGATTGGATTTTTAGTTCGAGACGAGACGAGACAAGATTTTTTATTCCTCATAAAATTTCGAGACGAGATCGAGACGGGATTTCCCTTCTCATATACAACGGGAAATGCACGTTCAAAATGTTTACCTGATTTTGTAACATTGTTAGATGACTGTTTAAATACAAAAATAATGATAATAGGCAAGAATATTTACAATCTTTTATTAAAAAACATCAGCATAACATTTTTTTATTAATCACGCCTAACTTATTAAAATAAATCATAAAATAAATGCAATATTAATTTTTATAAAATAGTTAGGTACTTGTTTTGACTTTTTATAGTAATAAAACATTCTTCACACTGCTTACACTTAACAAAACTTCTCAAATCTTATTAAAGTAATATTATTAAAATAATTAAAATTAAAGTAATATTTACATTTAAAGAATTAATTCAATAAGAACGCCTTCGCAAATGAAACGCAACTACAACACACTCCTGTATTGTGGGTATTGCATTGACTTTCTGCAGGCGTTTTTAATTTTTTTTTCTCGTCTCGATATAAATCTCGGCCAAAAAAAATCTCATCTCGTGTAACAAGATTTAAAATTTCCCGAAATTTCGAGACTTGACCATCCCTATTTGTCAGGTATACCAAGTACAACACATTTCCTTTTTCCTAACATAGCCATAGCCTACTGTATCAAAAAGCAAACAAAAAACAAAAAAATGCCACATACTTGAAACAATGATCACTGATGTCAATGACGCAAAGCGAGGTTATGTGTGTGATACTTCTGTGACACCATGATCACCATGTTGCTGAGTTTTGCGTGAAGTGTTGTACTGCCTGCACTCCTGCAGGCTGCTCTCGTAATGTTAGCGTGGTGGTAAATTTAAATTTACATCTTTGGCGGCAATTTCGGTTAACCGACGTTTCGGTTAACCAGCTTTTGGATTATCGGCGCTGAATTGTATTCCTCTACACCCAAGTCAATGAGAATATAAAAGTGTGCTCACTTATGTATATAGTGAATGTGCGGTGTTTTTGGTTTGTCATATTTTATTATAGTTCTGTGCATGTATTATGTGTATTATGTTATTATGTATTATATGTATTATGCTATGTGATGCTTAAAGGATGTTTTGTGGCGGGTAGCTACTTGTAGATGAAGTTAAAACTAGTGATTGTCAAAACCAGAAATTTCAAATACCAAAAACCAAAACCAAAACTTAAAATTAAAAAGAAAAAACACAAATTTTGAATTTTGATAAGTAAACGTGAACACTTTTTTACTTGCCTGGTTAACCCATTGGCACCGACTTACGAGTGCCGCTAGTGTCACCGCTACGCAGCGCAATTAGTTATTTATTTTACTAGTTTCTCCCCTTTTTGTTTCTTCTTACATGTTTATAAATTTCTTGTTTTGCGTACTTACTCATTTATTTTTGCGAATAAAAAACAATGTTGTGTTGCCATGGAAACCAGATATCACAAAAAATCAGCTGCGGTAAGGTAAACAAACAATTTTTTTTCTTAGTTATTATTTATAAAAGTACAAAACATGTGATTTTTCTACGTTAGAAATCAATTTAACTTAATAATAGTAGTGTCATTTGGTGTCTGGATTAATCTTGGCATTTGTAAATCAAGTTTACTTCCAAAAAACTGTTTGAAAAATGTTTATTTTTATAATCTTCATAATTTTATTTTTTTACTATCAAATCACCACTTTTTATATACAATTTTACTGTGAACAAAATGGCTAAAGATTTATTAATTTATTGCCTAAGGTCAATCAATCAATCATTGAGATGGGGCCTCCTAGGTGCGTATTTTAACCCAAATATGAGTGAGGGATGAGTGTAGAATGGTGTGTGATGACCTGTGTTGAGCTTTGTTACTGACTAAGTTCTGCGGTTTCATTAGTCATGATCATTTATTTAAAGCCCAATGATCAGGAACATTCTATAACTATTAAAGTTCAAGTCTAAAGGCGGTGACACACTATCAATCTTTTTCTGATCCAAGCAGGGAGAAGGGAGGTAAATATAAGCAAAATTTCAATCCGAACAATTCTCCGAACATGACCAAGACTAGACAAGTTCTACCGAGTGCGGCAAACGGGAGTTTAGAGAGAGAGATGGAAAATTTGATGATTTATTAGTTTATCCTGCCCTGGCTTAGACCGAAGGCCCACTCTTCCGCCAGGACAGGCTCCACAATTTTACGTTTTTTTCAAATTACAAACTGTTTAGGTTTAACCACTTTATATAGAAAACACAAATATAACCTATTATACTATATTCTTATTTAAAAAATAAAATTAAAGTAATCCACACATTACTTTCTAAATAATACAACACTTAAAAGAAAATATCGTTTCAGTTATACGTTTCGTTATTTTATGGAGAGCGTGTGTGAGTGAGAGAGCGGAGGCAGTAATAATAAAACATGAAATAACATGTTACAGAATGATAATAATTTTAATTGCCTTTAATAATATTTATGTTTATATTAATTTTGAATGAATTTAGGTATAACATCAATTACTTAATTCAAGTCAAACATTATTGGTATCATTGATTTAATGGTTGCAACTTGTAAACTACATTTTCATCCTTGACCAAACAAACCACCAAATTACAGCATAAATGCCCATAATACAACGGCAAAACATTACCCAACATTTATTTATTTTGCCAATTAAAGAGTTTAATTGCCATATTAAATTAGATCTATCAACGCTAGCGCAGGTGGCTGCTCGGTGCGGCGCTCGCGACGGCGTACGGGGCAAAAATATACCGTGACACACTATCGTACATCACTCCGTACATCAGACCGATCTCTTCTTTGATCTATTGCCAAAAAAAACCGCCTCCAGAGCGCTCGCCTCCCTGCTCGGCCTGTTGTCTGGATCGGTGTACGAAACTGTGACACACTATCGAACATGCTCCCTTCGACCTCTCTTCCCCCTTCTCCCTGCTCGGTACGGGGTCTTGATCGGGGAAAAGATCGATAGTGTGTCACCGTCTTAAAAATTCGGTAAAATTAATTGCCGAAAGAGGGTGCTGCAGATAGCACATTAACTCTTTCCCCAATGGGTTGAGGTTAAAAAAAATCAGTAATAATAATATGTTTATTATGCAATCAAAACTGGAGGAAATTGTACTCCTGACTCTGACATAATCATTAATAACATGAATATGTGAATAATAATATGCTTAAAACAAAAAATACCCTCACTGCATCAAACCTACAGACTAAGCAAATTTCCATTTGGATGATTTGATTTTTGCTAAAATATTTCCTTTGAATTGTCAGATTTATTCACTTTTCTCAAAGAAAACTAGGTTTTGATGGGTTCAAGCTGAGTTAAGCTTTTAAGGTGTGTTTTTTAAATGTCAATAGATTAGTATGAAATGAAAAAAATTCAAAATTTGATTAAAATATATCCTTAAACAAGCGAACTACAACAGTTTACTTATTATCTATGAGAGTAAGATGAGAATTTTAAGTTCCAAGCTTTATAACCCCTCCATAATCATTTAGAGTCCAACAACGCTTATATATACAAAATTATTTGTTTTTTAAGGAGTACAAAATTGTTTAGAAAGTAATTGCAAAGTTTCTTGATAAAAAAAACAACCGAGTTATGCTATTTTTTGTGTGTGTGCATATTAGTTTTTATAAAACTATCATATTGGTTCAGTGATTCACATTGTTGCAGACCATATAGCCAGCGTACACTGACCTACACTTATTAGTAAAGTTGGTTGATAGTTACAAAACATTCTGTATACAAATGTTAACCATTTGTGTTTTTGGCCTCTGGGGACCTCAAAACAAAAAAGTATATCGGTCCGGGTCTAGACCATGAGACACGGTAATAGCTTATTCTTTATATGGGAAATTGGCTAAAACACATTTTTTATTAATAACACACACTAAAATAAATTAAACTCCTGACACTTACATGGGAACATGAATGAGATGAATGCTTACTTCAAACTAAACTTTAATATCATAACTTGATAAACAAAAACACTGTAATAAATTAAACTCCTTTTTGAAGTTTTGAATCTCAAAACAAAACTTTTCCAAAGATGTATTGGTTTTGACACATTACTAGTTTTAATATACAGGGTCTTAAAAAGTCTGGGAACTT